ACTACTCATGGATCCCTAAAGAGTGAAAGAATGCGGCTCTTCCTCCAGATACGATTGTAGATATGCGTGAAAGATCTTGGATTTTATTAGTGAACTAGTCTTTGGCTGCGAAAAATCGGAGTGAAATCACCACAAAAGGAACCTTTCAATCAGAATTCCATACGACTTTCTTTTTACGGCATTAGGAGCAAGAACAGCTTTACATGGATAGAGAGCTAAAATAATAATCATTATTATTTCTTCCTTAATATATCAGATGACTGTAATAGAAGTGTAAAAAAAATCTCCTCGCATTTCTACGGTCTAATGTACTGATATATTTCAGTTTGAATGAAAGAGTTGGTCCAAATACCATTTTATTGATTTTGAACATAAACGGCTTTCCTTCCTTCCTGCAGAGTTCGGGTGTATGAAATGCGCTTTGCACAAAACTTGTACCAAATGTGATTATGCTTAAAGTAACTTAAGGAGAGATTTCATACGTACGCTTTCAGATTCTGTAACGCTATGAAAGTTTTGTTTTATTTGTTCTTATGTGCTTTTTATGAACTTCATGTCTATAAAAGAGAAAAAAAAGGAAATAACGCTTTATTAAGTTGTTAAATTGTGTTTTTGTGGAAATTTGATGGAAAAGATGAAAACCAAAAAGTGCTTGGATAATCTTGGGAAAATTGTACAACACATGTACGAGTTGATCGCGTATTTTGATGGTACACATATATACGACAACGCTGCCTTTCTCATCTTCTTTTAAAGAACAAACCAACAATAGCAAACACAATAGAGACTTTTATCAGATATGATCAAAACAATAGAAATTTGTCAGAATCTTTCACCTTCTAATAACCACACAGCGGAGGATCACTAAAAAAGCATCAATGGATTTTGATAAAATTATAGCAAAATGGTCAAATGCACTTACGCGCATGATAGGCTTTGAACGAAATTCATTCCATTTGTCATAAGGTCATTCACATCTTTTGCCTGATACATGCAATTTTTTCCGACGGTTGAAAGAAGCTTCTGCGAAGGGGTCTGGAAATAAAGTTACGGTCAAAACTAACACACTGATTTTTTCCCGATTAAAACATTTTCTTAAAGATAGCGAATA